CAGTTTCTCACTTGTTTTTCACTCGGTCTTACCCTGCATGCGAAGGCATGTTACCAGGCTTTCGCTTTAAATAGAGCATAAAGCAAGTAGTTTTCTTTTGGAAGCAGTAAATAGAAAAAAAAAAAAATGTAAATGACATGTTTTTTAGTGGCCACAGAGTAACACTGACTTAGATGTGGATCACACCTTCTCATAGAAGGCACATTTTAAACCTTATACTTTCCTCTGTTGTCATGAATATTTAATCGCTATGGATATTTTGCACATATGTGTAATAGAATTGTATGGAAGAGAATTCTGTACTTTAAAAAATTGATAGTATATAAGTTTGTATTGTCGTACTTGCATTTGGAAGAACCTGCTGCACTGCAGTTCAAGACTGAGAATTTTGACAAGAGTTGAAATACTGGGATTGGGTGTAATATGAAAGTGGAGTGGATATCTTCCATTTGGAAAGAATCACACAAACACAACAGGTGAAGCTCCAGCTGAGCATCGTCATCCAAGGAGATATGGTATTTTAGTTTTGCTGGAGAGTCACTAGAGAGTCACTTGTGAACTCAAGCTGTGCAATGTCATAGAGACTACAAAGACTGTCATAGAGACTACAAAGCCTGTCAGACAAGGACAGGGGAAAGATATCAAAGCTCTGTGTTGGATTATTTTTAACACACCCATTCTATTTATATGAATAATTTTTACTTCAGTTTATAATTATGAAAAGTACCTATACATATCCTCTACTGATTATCAATTTTATGTAATCTGTATAGTATGTTATAAATAAAGGAGAAGCTAATGAAGTAAATGCAGAGAAGCAAGAGCTTTTATAAGTACAAACTGAAACAGAAAATAGCTAGATAATGAGTGTCCATGTGTAACTTCTTTATAAAATATTGCCAAATTGCTCCCCAATGCAGTTTACCAATTTACATTCCCATCAGCAATATATGAGTGTTATATATCAGTCTATCCATGGTTATTTCTCTCATTATATCTCAAGTACCTAGCACAATGCCTAACACATGGAAGGAGTACAAGTGGTGTTTGATGAATGAATGAATGAGAATCAGGATTTGTTTAGCATTGGGACAGTTCAAGATACAGCTCCAGCATCATTTTCTACAAAGGCATGTATTGACAGACCCAGGATCACACAGGGTCTGCTCAGAGAAGCAAAGTAGAATACACTATGTACATGGAAAGAATAGTGACAAGGAAACAATTGAATCCAAGGTGAGAAAAATGTAACAGAAGATGAATCAGACAGTCTGTCAGTAGGCAATATGCAGAGATCCAGGCAGCAGTCTGACTACCTCAGTGAATTCTCAGCTAGTGGAAACCCCAGCTCTGAAGGCAAGACCCCAGTTTCTGGAAGACAGTATCAGAGAATCTATTGGTTTTAATGGGGAGGTGCAAAGGACTTTGAAAAGGATGGGCATTAAGTGGAAATTAGAGAAAATCCCAGAGCTAGAAATCAGAGTGGGTCTGTCAGCCTGTATCTATGCCTTTAATTTCAGCCCTCGACCCACAGTGTTCATAGATGTCAATATGTAGGTCAGAGTCTGTGGTGTCAGTCCTAAAAAGATTATCTTTCCTGTTCATAAGTTATTTTACTTTGACCATTTCCTCCCTGCTGGTCATCATTTATACTCCATCCCTTGTCTAGTCTTTCCCATTTTATTCATCATTTACTCCTGGTTGCCATTTTTTAATACTACATTGTAGCTTTCCAATTTTAGCTCAGTTTATTGATATGCTTATTCTAAGTTAATCTGTTAGTATTGGCTGTCTTCCTCACACTTTATTAGATATTTCTATACTATCTTCCTTATATTGCTCACTTCAGGAAGGACCATCACAATCTCTCCTAAGTCTGTGGAATATATGACCTGGGTCCTACCAAGAGGTCAACAAGTATCTCTTTATTAGTTTATATTTCCCATCCTTTTCATGATGAGGGCTCAATGAGGTTACCCATTTAAAGGACAGCACAGGACCTGGTGTGATATTGGTTCATTTATTTATTCATGCAATAAATATTTATTTCTAGAAGTACTTACTAATTCAGGAACCTAACACTATGGTCATGTAACTTAACCCAATCTATGGTATGTGATACACATATCCTAAAAATGTACATGCAAGCATGTCTGTATATACAGATCTATCTACCTATCATAGAAATAGAGGCAAATGAAAAAAGAAAGAAAGAGAGAGAGAGAGAGAGAGAGAGAGAGAGAGAGAGTGGGAGGGAGGAAGGAAGGAAAGAAGGAAGGAAGGAAGAAAGAGACACAGAATGTGTATATTTCTCTTAGTTAGGACTAAAATATTTTGTAACTGCATATTCTTGTTCCTGAATTATCTTAGAAATTACCTGAAGAGGAAGAAGAAAGAGAGAGGAGGAAAACATGAGAAAGAGAAGAAGAAAGAGAACAAGGGGAAGAAAACATTAATCCAATGATATTTTTAAATGATTTCATTTTTTTATTTTCTTTACAATCTGGGTTATTTTTTTTAAACTGATGTACATTATAATTTTCTCAGCTTTTGTTTTTATCTCAATTTTTTCCAATTAACATGTATAACTTTAGAAAGTATACAAAAAAAAAAAAAGGTAGAAAAGCTGAAGAAAGAGGAAACAGGATAACTTACAGGTTATCAGTTATCACCATAGCCCATTTGGGCCCTTATATAGACCTGGTGTATGGGCCTGGAAGGGAAACTTCCTGTGGCAAACTGTAGTCTGCTGACTTACTTACACAGCTGAAGTATGGGTTGCTGCCTCAGGCACAGGCATTATGAGGGAACAACACCAGGTAAAACTACATGAAGGCAATGACAGCCAAGAAATAGGTGAGCCAAGAAATCATCCCAGGATAGTACCAACCTACTAAAAAATGTAGGATGACTGTGATCATTACAATCAATGGCATGATGTTCTTTCTTCTCAAATCAACTATAGTTAGGAGTCAGACACATAACAAGCCTTGTCCAAAGAAAAGAAATGAGCAATCCACAGTTGTCTCATCTGAAAACTCTCTCACCTATTCTCCTGCTATTTATTTATTAATTAATATTCTTACCTGGACTTTCAAATAATTTAAAATATTTCTTTTATTGCCACTGGAAAGGGATATGCATTAATAACTTATGCCTTGCTTCTTTATTTACAAAGTAGTATACCAATGTTTTTAATGGATTAATTGCCAAATGGTCCTGACACATCTACTTGTATATACACAAGCTCTCATTAGGCATGACTAATGCTGAATGACAGGTAGAAACTAACTTTGGCAAAAATCCCGACATGTGACATATGCCCTTACAGAAAACTTGCCTAATATGACATATAATGCAACTAGAGACTTTGCCTTAGGAAAAATACTGTAGGTACATCCACATAATGCAACTAGAAACTTTGCCTTAGGAAAAGTACTATAAGGTACATCTATTTTGCTATTTTTCTTGAAAAGTGATTTTAAAATATTTATTTATAACACATAGCAGAGGCTTGTATCGAGAGAGGTATGTCAAAGTAAATTATACATTAGAAATTTTTCCTAAAACATTTTTCTTACATCAGCCAATGACCCTAAAGTTTTCCTCTCACATTGCAAGGGATAAATAATACAAGGTAAAAATAAATATCTACTTTCCATAAAGCCTTTATACAGTCTTCTAAAGAGAAAGCTGAGACATTTGAGAGGGATCTTTCTATAACCTTCTTTAATACTGGATATATAAATGTCTATCCTTCAACTAAATTATGGTCAAAGTAGGGAAGAAATAATCAATAAGGTCTGTAATATGCTTCTATTTGCCTCCTAATCTCAAAATTAATTAAAAGTTTTCCCTTGATTAGACTTCTTAGTTCAATAAGTATTTATTGCTTTATTGTTGAAAAATGATACTCATCAAACCTTATACTAAAAGATATAATAGAAAATACAAAAACAAATAAACAAAGATCTATCCTCATAAACTAGAAAGTTGGAGTTTCTATAAATTTTGTAAACCAGAGAGGCAGATTTTCAACATTCACATCCCTGATCTAAGGAGGATGGAGGAAAGCCTTACCTTAAACTATGTGAGCACCACAAATAAGGTGATTCTTCACTTAGTCAGCACTCTGTTTTCAATGGAGAAAACAAAACCTGCTTAATCCAGATTACTGTTTGGAGAGTTCCTCAATCATATGTTATTTAAGAATCAGAGGCCATTAGAAGCAGAAAAATAGAATGGCTGATTTTTATGGAAAAGTTGGTATCTTTGCAAACTTGCATTTCTTAGAAGAAAGTACATTTTTACTACTGTAAATGTCATTTAGGAAAAAAGAGTTAGCAAATAAATCCCTTAAACCTTGAAACTCATAGCCAGCCTTTAGTTTTCCATTTCTGGTATTGAGTTTCTCATTCTGAAAGCCACGTATATATTTATAAGTCTTGATAGAATTATAAAAGATTGAGAGAAAATCCTTCCTCCTATTTTTAAAACTCATCCATTCTTGGACTATTGTTTCTCCAACCTCTCCTTTCTTTTCTATATGAGGTCAAGGGCAAATGCTTTCTACCTGGAGGCCTTTTTTTAACATCCTTATAATTCCGAGATGAGATTCCTGCTTATTCAAAAGCAAGGACTGCAAGGAAAAAGACAGAACCTATAATGACCCAACCCTATTGCAATTCAAAAGTAGAAAGATAGTCAGGTCGAAGGAAGATGGATCTGCCTTCAGATGTACCTTAAGTCAGGAGTGCGGAAGATGCAGAAAGAGTCTCCCCTACAGAAACAGAGGCGGTGAGTGTGTGCTCATCAGCTGAGGAGCCATGTAGTTAACATCTGCGATGATACCTATGTTTACAGCTGTAGCAATTGTACCATATCAAAAAGGATTATTTCACTGTCACAATTCATTAAGAACCAGGCTTGTTATGAGAAAATTTAGGCTTAGACTTTTGTTTCTAGTTTTATTGAGGTATAGTATTCATGCTGCATAATTGAAAAATAGGGAACGCTTCGCAATTTTGCATGTTGTCCTTGGCAGGGGCCATGTTAATCTTCCCTATAAGGTTCCAATTTTAGTATATGTGCAGTGGAAGCAGGCACTAAGCTTGCTAGGATTTTTATTTTGGGTGTTTGCATTTTTAAATTATTATTTAGATATTATCTAGATCTGAAAAAATTATCAAATCTCAAATTAATAAACTAATATGCTCTTTGGGGAAAAAAATAGATTTTTACATTATTTTAATTATTTCTTTATACTGAACAGAGTTGATGCTATTCTTAAAATAGTGCATGCTGATTTAATTATTGTATAATTACAATTTTTTTAGTTTCTGGCAATTCTAGTTTCCTGTTCAAACGCTCTTTTTTTCAAATATTTCTCAGCTATTATCTTTGTATATTCTTCCAGATAAAACTTTGAATCATTTTATCAAATCCTCATCTTAGGAAAAAACCTCTAATTCATTTCTCTCACCAAAATATATTCCAGATTACCTTGAGTTAAATATAAATGTACAAACAAGCACTAGAAACAATTAGAAGAAAACAACTGATTATCCCTCGTCTCGAGGCAGAGAATGATTTTCTAGGTATAAAAAGCAAAGGAAGAAACATAGGATGAAAAGATTGATAGAGTCGGTTTTAGTATTCTTGGCCTCCTTCCCTTTTTCTGGAGTAGTTTTACTAGCTGAGTACTCTTAAGCAAGATACTTATTCTTTCTGTTCCTTTGTGTCTTCTCTATGTGATTGAATAATAAACTTAATAATGGTGAGTTTATGGAACATCAACTGTATGGACTACCAGGAAAGCATTTAAAAAAACACAGAAGGAACATTGGGATGATAGAACACTTATGTAATCTTTAGAAGTAGTGTGGCGCAGTCATAAAAATTGACCTTGGAGTTGGACAAACCTGGTTTGTAATCCTGCCTCTGTCATTTTAGTAGATTTGTGACTTAAGTATGGTCATAGCTGTTTAAAGGGTTATTTGAGAGTTAGAAATATTGTCATGTGCCACATAACGATGTTTCTGTAAATGACAGACCACATATGTAACGGTAGTCCCATAAGATTACAATAAAGCTGAAAGATTCCTATCATCTAATGATGTAGCTGTCATAACGTCAGAGCAGATGCATTACTCACATGTGTATGGTGATGCTGGTGTAAACAAACCTACTGTGCTGCCAATCATATAAAAGTGTAGCACACACAATTACAGTAGTAGGCAATACCATATAGGTTTGTGTAAGTACACGCTGTGATGTTCACACAAGGAAATTACCTAACGATGCATTTCTCAGAATTTACTCTCATTGTTAAGTAGTACATGACTATAGTAGAGGCTATAGTACCAAAATTGTAACATCATTGTCCAAAAAAGTAAACCAATCATCCTCATTCTAATCCAATCCAAAAACCACCATTCATGCCCTCGACTCAATCTGCTTCTCCCAGACCAATCATCTGTTTCTGTCTAATATCTTCCCATAACAAGGTTACATAATCACAATCTACTCCTAAAAATTCATAAACCAGATGAAAAGGCAACTTACAAAAAGGAGAAATATTTACAATACATATGACAAAGTGTTAACGCACTAGCATTAAATGAAATAAAAAGGGTGTAAAATATATTTCTTATTCAGATTATTTATTAACTTATTTTCCTCCCTCCTTAATACCGCCCCACCCCCTCGCCCCAACTTCCACCCCTGATCTATGGATGTTGCCGTTTCCCCTTAAGAACTGGATCTCTGAAGGCAGGGCGTCTCCTCCCACATGCTCACAGCATGCCCCCGGGGCCTGAGCCCCCCACTCCAGGGGTATGGTTTGTGCCTCCACCTGGGGTGTGAACCCAGGATCTTCTGCTTGTACAACAGACGTGCTAACCACTACACTATGGAGCCACCCCTTATTAACGTATTTTTGACTATCAGTATTGTCTGAAGTTTCTGCAATGAATATTTATTACTATTTATAGATTGAAAACAAACACGAAGTTTCTTTTTTCTCCAAAAATATGATTATCTCATATATCAGTGATCTTTTCTTCTTTCTGTTTGATTTTTCCAAACGTTTGCAATAAATATATAAGAAAAAAGTAATAATTATGTTATTTCTAAAAGGATGTTGGTGATGCAATTGTTTATTTTTATAGCCTGAGTCCTAAGGAACATACAGGGAGAAAATGTAAGACACAAGCACAATAAAAAGACTGAAGTACACTGTAAAAAATAATAAATCAACAAATGAAAAGGTATATCAACGATATAGAAGGATGTTCTGGGCCCAGCTGGGTAAGCTTTGGTTCAGACTTAAGCAAATTCACCACTGCTACTAAAGTGAGCTGCTAAACCAAGTCCTATCTTTTTATGTAAGGGTAAATGACAGTAAAAAAAAAAAAAAGGTAGAGAAGAGTGGAATGGAGAGAGCAAGCCCAATTTATTCACAGTATCAAGTACTACTCAATGAACTGTTCGACAACTTAAATAACGTTAATTTGAGTAAGAAATTGAACTAAAGGGCCCAGGAATAACTTAAGAAAATTTACAGGCTCTACACAACCAGCATGTATAAGTCACTTGACCTCTTGGACCAAATAAATAGTAAAATCAACATTTTTATGCTCTTTCTCAATTCTAATAGTCTATAATGTTATACATTGTTTCATAATAAGTGAATTCACAGATATGCAGGAAATTCTTGTCTTCTAATTTCATTCTAGGAAATACTTGACCAAAGTAAAATTAATAGAGAAAAAAATGTTGGTGACTAGTTAGACTAGTTATCATATAAAGACATAACAAAGCAGCTACCAGATTATAACTTTAGCTGTGGTTCTTAAAGGGAAAATTTCTTAATGTTGCCCCCAAATACTGCATGGTGTTCTTTATGAGGAAAACCCTAAAGTATACATTTAAGGCAACAATCCTTACAAACTCTTTTAATTTAGTTCTGAAGTGCCAAACCAACAGCATCATGTTGATAGAATCTTTGAACTTAGCCCCTTGGTTCCATCATAACAACATTCGAGCATTTTAACAATGTGTACATTAATAACTGTGGTCACGTAATTTCTCTAAGAGTTTGCTTACTGATCTTACTACTCACTGAAGTAGTTATGAAACTGTTGATGTGTGTAGTTATCTTTTAAAAGCCCCAAGACAGTAATTATAATATTAAGGTGGGTGGATGCATATAATTTGCAATTTTAACTCAGAGATCTCTATCTTGAAATTCTCTGACAATGAGACTTTGTCAGAGAGACAAATGCTTGTACATTTACTGGAGAGAAAAGAGGGTGTAGTCACCTCAAAAGAAGCAGGGTGGTGCTTTGGTTGAAAAGCCCTGAGGCGAATGCTGAAAACTGCTTTTTCTCTTTGGCTTCCCTCCCTTTGTTTTTAGCCTACTAAATGCTGTACAAACTAATTTGTAATAAAACATAAAATTTTGAAAATCCTTGGGAATGAAATTGAGAAGTTAAGAGTTTTCTCATTTTCAGAAAGTGAAGAATCTCTTTTATTTAGAGAAGAAGAAGTCATTTTTCAGTGGATTGGCAAATTGTTTCATTCTTACCTAGAAAAGACCTCTTAGAAGTTGGTTGATCTGTACTCTTTTAGCTAAAATAGTCAATCGAAAGTATGATGTGTGATTTAGACATCTTTTTGTCATTGCTTCATTTCTCAGAAACCACCACAAAACCCTCAAGTGAGGAGTCGTTGTTATTACTAAGTTGAGCAAGTTTTAAAACTAGTAGTATGAAAATAAAATTTCTTAAGTGTGAGTTAATCCTCTACTTAAAATAACCATTTAAACTATATAACTATTATGAGTGCTATATAAAAAAGGGGAGACCGACAGAGAAACTGGCATTATAGACCAAGTTTTAAGCATTAAGCTGAATGTAATCAAGCTGCTTCTAGTCAGATCTAACTATTTACATAAGACCTCAATAGGCATAAATACCCATTTGGCATGGTGTCATCCTCTGAATTCATCCAGACCAGGATTCATCCAGACCACATTCTGTAAAATTGACACAGTCTATAAAACCCCTCAAATGTGATTGTTGAACTTAAAAATAAACAGTTATTTTACCAGCAAAAATGGGTTTATTCAGGAATAGTAGACAATTGCAATTCGGGGCATGCAAGCTATGGCAAAATAATTGGCAAGTCCAGAGAAGACAGAGAGAAACATTCTTTTGTAGAAGAAAGGGGAAATTGAAAGAGGCCATTATAAACAAACAGTTCATGGGAGGAAACTGGGAGTTTGAGGTGTAGTAGCTTTCCACTGGTTGGGCCTGTTGGAAATGCAAGGCATGTCTCTTCCTGTTTGGGTCAACTGCCAATGAGTGGTAAGACTTGACAGCACCCTCTACAGGTCCCCCAATTTGTTTTGGGTCTCCTTTATTAATTTTCATATAATTTAATACCCATCTTGTTAAGGGTGGAAAATTTTCAAGTGAGCAAACTAGCTAAGTCAGCTACAGGGAAGAAATATCTTTAGATATCAGAAGTTGTCCTACTTGCTTGTGTGTGGTTTAGGAAGTGTATTGTATAAAATATGTAGATGGCCAATGTCTGCTTCTGTAATCCATTTACTTGTTAATTAAGGATGTTGTTCCGGGCAAAGATATGCTAAAAGCCAACTTCCACTTCTGTAATCTGCTGGCTTGTTCAGGAGACCACCAGGATATGGTCTTGAGCTTTATTAGCTGCCTGCTCTGAAAGCTCGGGGCTGATCTCCTCTAGCCCTGCGTGGTAGAGAGTCAGTCGCCGGCCGGCTAATAAAGGCTCATAATTAATCTCAATTGGCTCCGTGGGTCTCAGAATCGTTCGCACCGTAACAATCTCACTCCCTTCGTCTGTGAAGTCCAGCCCTTCCAAGGTTCTTCTCCACCCTGCAGACTAAATTAGGCTATTCCTTCTTGTCCCCAAATACATTATAGGTTGTTCCATTATAATCATAGTTAATACATACAATGTTTACTATGTGCTAGATATTGCTCTAGGTTTTTAGATATGTTAACTCATTTACAAAGTAACTCTATGAGGAAGGTTCTATTATTATCCCCATTGTGCACATAAGTTTT